TTCAGTTAGTCCAATGTACTTAATAAAAGCTTTAAAAAGAATAAAAATACCAAAACAAATAATAAAAATCATTCTATACATAACAACAAATAGAAAAGCCGCAGTTATAACCAAATATGGACTAACAGAAACATATATCATAGAAAGAGGAATAGAACAAGGAGATACAATCTCACCTCTATTATGGTGTATATTTTACAACGTATTATTATCGAAGATAATAAAAGAAAATAATGGATATATAATAAAAGAACAAGGAATCAAAGACCTAAGAAAACCAGAAGAAAAAACAATAATAAAAGAATCAGTCACAGCGATGACTTACATGGATGATACAGTTTAGATTCCAAAAAATAAAGAAGAAATATTCAAAATTATGAATATAGCAAATGAGTTTATGAAAATGACAAGAATAGAAATTAATTGTTCAAAATCTGACTTAATAATAATTAAGCCAAGGAAAAAAAAAGAAAAAAATCAAAACAATAATCTAATAGACTCAATAAAAATAGGAAATAATATAATAAACTGCTATGTTACACAAGAACCGATTAGATACTTAGGAGTATGGATGCAAGTAAATGGAAAAAAAACACATCAAATAAAAATAATAGAAAAAAAAATAAAATACACATTAGCAGCAATAAGAAAAGCAAAAATAACAGACAAACAAGTAAGATACGTCTTAAATTACATGTTAATACCACAACTGGAATATTTAACAATAGATAACATACCAACAGAACAATGGTTAGATAAACAAGACAGAAAAATAAGAACAACTTTTAAATACAAATGTTATCTAGAAAAAACAATATCCAATTCTATAATACATTCAAATTTAGGTTACAAACTATTTAGTATCAAAGATAGAATATATAAACAATGCCTAGTAGAATTTAACAACAGAATTAATCATCAATCCTTATACGAAAAAACAACAAGAATAAGAATTCAATCCTTACAAAATAGCACGTGGACTATAACACCAATATGGGAACAAGAAATAAAAAATCTAAAAATATATAAAAAAATAAACCAAATAATTAAAATAATAGAAATATCAAGAAAATATAAAATAATAATAAAAAATCAATATAAAAATGAAATTCTAATAATACCAATAGGGGGAATAATAACCATAGAACAAATAATAAATAATAAACAATACTATAGAAACATGGTAAAAACATTGAAAGGAAATAATTTATTATACGCTGATCAATTAATAAATAATAATTCAGAAAACATTAGAATCCTAATATAGCCACAAGTTACAAAGGATAAATATAAAGGAAAAAAACCATATTGGTATGGAAAATTTGAAGAAAAACTTTTAAAAGCAGAATTTAATTTTGCACAGCAATACGACTACATAAATACATTTAACCTATTAAAACCAATAAACGAAGAAACTAAATTCACAATAACAAAAGTAGAACAAACAAAAAACAATGAAACACAAATAATATCACTAATAAGAAAAATCAAAAAAAGAAATAAAAATAATACAATAACAATAGAACATTATACGTAAATAGAAAATAGTAATAATAATTTCAAATCATCACTACAACCATATAGAGAATGTGATCTTTTTCCAAATCCAAAAAATGAAAAAACAAAAAAAAACAAGAAACCATCAAAACCACATAATTGACATTAAAACAAATGAAATACAAACATACCACTTAGATCTAAGGCAGTACAAACTGAAAAAAAATGAAAAAGGAAAAACAAACAACAAAAGAAAGATATCAAAAATGATACAATCCCCACAATCCATTCTAAATTTTTACGATCAATTTAAAAAAGCAAATTGCATAATAGACCAAGAAAATGAAGAAAAAAATAAAGACCCTAAGGCAGAAATAATAAAATATTCAGAAGATAAAATACACGAAATAATGAACATAAAACAAAAAATGATCAACTGTACCAACAATAAAATAGAAACCTATACGGACGGGTCATGTATTAAAAAGAAAATTCCAGAAAATTTAATAAGACAATATAAAAAAACAACAGCAATGGGATATGGTATAGTAATAGAAATAGAAGAACAAAATAAAAAGGAAATCCTAATTTTCAAAGGAATAACACAAGGACCACTATCATCAACCAAAGCTGAATTAATAGTGATAGCTGTTTTATTAGATATATCTCCAAGAAATAAAACAATAAAGATAAACACAGACTCAAGTGCAGCAATAGCAGCAATAAATGGATATATAGATTTAAGAAAAAGAAAAAAAAGAAAATCATACAAAAATCCATACATACTGCAAACAATAGAAGAATTAATAGTTAAAAAAGAAATAAAAATAGAACTAATAAAAATTAAAGCTTACACAGGAATAAAATTAAATGAAAAAGTAGACCAGTTAATAAAAGAAGGAGGAAATGAAACAAAAAAAACAAAAATAAATTCAAAACAATTAAACATAATAAAATACTTTAATACAGTAAACCAAGAAGTCTTGAACATACCGATACAAGAATATATAAAAGAAATGATATCCATAAATCACTTGGTAGATTGGAAAATGTTGTATAGAACAACTATGATATTATCAAAAATAATTATAACAGCAACAGATTAGAAACAAACAAAAGAAACACTAATGTACTCAAAAATCACAGACAGCAAAATATCACAAGAAGACCAAAAATATAGAACATTTAAAATAAAACTATTAATAGAAGGATTACCCACAAAAAAATTAATGTATGAAAGATATTCTCAACTGTATCAAAATTCAAAATGCATTATATGTAATAACCAAGAAGAAACATCAATACATGCCCTAACATGTTCAAACAGAATCAAAGAACTTCAAGGAGAATTTTTTACAATAGTAAGGAAAAAAATTCAAAAAGTACACAACCACTCAAAATCACATGAGTTAATCGAAAAAGAATTTAAAAACTACAGTGACTATCAAATAGACCATAACAGAATAAACACAGTAAAAACAAATGAATACTTAACATTTTCCTTTATAGACATAATAAGAAACATAATACCAAAATCCCTTAAAAAAAACTAAAAAAAATTATAAAAATAGAAACAAAAGAAATAGAAAAAGTAATTAAAAATATAATTCAAGAATTTACAAAAAAAATACATATAAAATGGTTAGAACGATGTGAAGTAGTAAACAAGTGGAAAGAAAATAATAATATAACAGCTGAAATAAAACGAAGTACAATAGCACAGTATATAAGAAATGAGGAAAACTATGAAAAAATTAAAAAAAAAATTAGAAACACGCAAACCTAAAGTAATAGAAGCAGCATTAAACAACTTATTAAATGTAACAAACACTTCTTTTTCATATATTTTATCTTTTTTATTTTTAAGCTTAAATATTAGTGGAACTGTAGCAATGGAAACCTACTAATTTTAGAAGTAAACATTAGTTTATTTTTAATGGCAGTAGGTTAATCGGTAAACATAGTCTTAGATAGTTTTATTTCTTCATTTGTAACTTCTATACAATCTAAATGAAATAAAGCGAGACCACGTCAGTCACTCAAATCAAATCAAATAAAATCAAAACCGATTGTTGTTACATATAAAACATTATTTTATGCCAACAAAATAATAAAAGTGGTACTAAGTAACCTTAAAGGCAATATTATTTTGCATCTACTATTAAAGTGACAAACCCATATCATGCGAATTAAAAGAAAAATTAAAATTTATTTATTAAAGTTTAATTGTTAATTATTTCTTGATTTCGCATGATATAGGCTTGAAATTTTTATAGTAGATGCACAATTATATTCTCTTCAAGATTACTTAGTATCATTTGTAAGATTTCATTGGTATAAAATAATGTTTTATATGTAACAACGATTGATAATTTTCTTTAAACAGTAAATAATCAACAATAATTTCAATCGTTTTTTAGTCGTGTCTAAGTAAAGTTCTAATTTTCACTAGAAAACATAAAATATGGTACTAATAAAAGTTGTAGATTTAGTTTAGGATTACAACTTTTTATAAGATAGTAGGCACTTCCGGTAGATAGTTACTAAAATCGAAAGAGATTTCGGTTAACAATTTAATTTAATATTTTTGGTAACTTTTATTTAAGACAAGATTTTAAAACGAGTAGGCATCCAATTTGAATAAATGAGATATCATACAATAGTCCTTAATTCGGGAATTCTTTTAAAAAAAAGTTTGTACAATTTAAATTATTCTTTGTGCCAGAATTCACCCTTGAGATTTTTAAAAAAATTTGATAAAAAACAGCTGTCCGGATACTTTTGGCAGGCTGGTGTATTTATCTGAACATGTATTCACACATGGTCAACTTTACATAGCTCTCTCACGAGCTCGATCTTATTGGAATATCAAAGTACTGATAAAAAACAGTAACGTTATTGGGAAACATAACACTTACACACAAAATGTTGTACACAAAGAAGTCCTATCTAATTAAAACATAACTATCCTTACTTTAAACTTTATAAAATCATTTTATTTATGATCCACTTTTATTCATAACATTAAACAAATAAATAACATATAAGAAAAAACATTTTTTTAAACAACAAAAAATATATATATGATGTTTTTTTTTATTAATAAATATATATATGTAATGACATATCTTTTATTATTATTAATAAATATATAATTATAAATAAAGTTACAAAATATTACTTGAAACAACAAAAAAAAATGTCATAACCACAATAGTAATAGTGCAAAAAATAAAAAATATACATTCATCTCTTAATAAATATATATATATGTAATGACATATTCTTTATTATTACTGATAAATATATAATTATAAATAAAATTATGAAATACTACTTTAAACGAAAAAAAAAACCATCATAACTACTACTTCGACAATGATAACAGCATAAAAAAATAAAAAATATACACTCATTTCTTCTCTTCCTTAATATTAGTGTTAACAGAATTTAACCTACACGAATCCAATTTACTTCGCAAAGACTGTTCAACAAGCTCCCACCTTTAGTACGTGAAACTCTCCTCCTACCTCTATTACTCTTTACAGGTGGTTCCTCAGTCTCCTCACGATCATGACCAATTGATATGTCATTCTTCTTAATACTTGATTCACTGTCTTGTCTACACATTCGAAGTTTGATAAACCTTCACCAGAAATCTCATTGAGACTTAAGTTCGTACACACTTCGCTGGATTAAAACAATCTTTTAAACACAATTCAGGTTCGTCTACGATATCGTTTTAACCAACTGAAATTTCATTTTCTGATTTATCTTTTAAATTACTAACGATATTTTTATGAGTAACCAAAAGCTTAGCTCTAGTCAAATTTCTAGACATCGAAGAATCTCGGGATGTATTATTATCAAAATTTTTTTTTTATTGGAAAAATGTACATCAACGTTACTAACATCTTTAGCATATACGTAAAATTCGTTGTCAATTATCTCCATCTGTCCAACCACGAAAATTAATGACTCCTGAGGACAAATAATATCCTTTAAGTGCGTAAGACGCGAATTACGACTCGAAAAAACTACATTTATAATAAAATTATTTTCTTGACCGGAATAATCTGTTACCAATGTCTTGATAATGGTATCATCTTTAATTTCATTTGGCATTTCCTGAGGAATTCCAACCAAAGACACGTTCAAAGGACATTTATTAGACTCAACAACCTTATTAAGAATTGCCAGATGCGTAGACATCGATAAAGTCATCTACCATTTTTAAGATAAAAACGCACAACCACAAATAAATAACGTACTATATACCAATACTAAAAATTGAAAAAAAAACATACGCAATAAATACCTTCGCTCTTGTATTCCTGCAGTACGACCCAGGTATAATTTTACCACTTACCAAAAAAAATTTATCCTTTTCAAAAATAGCCTGAGTTTCTTGATCAATTTCATCAGGATTCAATGGAACAAACAGAGCCATCTCAATATCATAATCCTCACGCTCTATGGGATATGCACCGAGAGCCCATACCACCAAAAATTTCAAGTCTTCTCTTACGTGCAGCTTGACGTACTTAATCTTCACGATTGTATTAGCATAACACAGAATTTAGCAAATTGGCTTCAGAAAACGTGAAAAATAAAAATGTTTGAAGTCAAAATAACTCATATTAATACATACGCAAAACATATTATATCATGATTCACTAACTTCGCACACTAACAATTTAATAAAACACAACCATAAACTCATAATACGAGATCATTATGATGAAATAAAAACTAATTCAAGCAGGTAATAATGACAAAAAAAAGTCGTATTAACAACTGACATACTAAATTTACAAAAAAACACGCACGAACTTGATTACAAACTAATATATCATATAACACCAAAAAAAAATTAAAAATTCACAAAAAAAAAAAACTTGTATTAATATTGTAAATTTCAAATTTACCCACAATTTGAATGATATTCAGCTACTTAAAGTGATAAAATAATCTAGATTTCAAACTAAAAACATTCATTTTAACCTAAACCAAAAATATTTGTTTCAATCTAAAATATTTTAAATAACCTAAACGATAAAAACTGTTATTAAATTAGAATAATTAATTAAATTATAAAATCACGGTAAACTAATCAAACCAGATTTTTTAAAAACTAATAAATTAAAATTTACAAAACTGTAAAGAGAGTTTTATATTAATACAATATTTAATTTATTACCTAACTTATTTAATATTATTTATTATTTATAATCAGCGCTATAATGCAACTAAATAATAGATAGATAAAAAAAAATGTAATTCCCGTGGCAAAGCCACGGGCAAAAAGCTAGTAATATTCATAATATTTTATCAAATGTTTCCACTATGTAGGTCACGATGAACTAAGTTATTTAATGCAAGAATAATAATTTATAATCTAAATAAAAGAAGCATACCTCTTTAAGAAATACAGATAAATCATGTCTAGAATCATTTATTTCTTTCAAAGCAAATTTAATACCTACATAAGAATATTCCGAATCCTGTTTATTAAAATTCTAATACCATTTCAAGCCATTTTTTAATATAGCCGAATATACAGATCCATACCCACCATCTTTTATGTGTTTGATATCTTGAAAATTAAATTATCATAAGGTTTCCACTATATAAAATATTCTGGATCATTTATTTGAGAATTCCGGATAAACTTATCAATTTCGACGTTCCAACTAGATAAAGTTCAGAAAAAAATATTCTTTATTAGAAAACTCACAATATCCACTATCGATTTTAATGCTCATTATAATATTATTGGAAGAATGACCAGCTGTACAATACACTAATTCTTTTTCTTGAGACATGAAAAATAAAAGAAATGTTCGTTATTGAATACTTTTTCAAATTTACAAATAGCATCGTT